AACAAATAAATAAAATCTTATAAAAAAAAAAAAAAGAGGGGTGCCTGGGTGGCTCAGTCAATTAAGCACCCGACTCTTGATTTTGGCTCAGGCCAGGGTCTCAGGGTTGTGAGGTCTGAGATGGAGCCCCGGGGCTCAGCGGGGAGTCTGCCTGTCCCTCTCCTTCCCCCTCTGCCCCTCCCCCAACTCTTGTGCATAACTAAATAAAATCTAAAAAAAAAAAAAAAAAAGAAATGAGGAAACAGAAGCCCCAGGTCACGTGGAAAGCCAGTGTGGCTCAGGGCCAACACAGGGGTCTGGCTCTGGGGACAATGCCCCGACCAACACAGGATTTGGAAGGAACGTGGAGGCTGAGGTGGGGTCTGCAGCCAGAGGACTTCGACTGTTACCGTAACTTGCTGCTTAACAGAGGGAAACTAAACCCAAACAAGCCTTAGTTTCCTCATCTGTGAAATGGACCAACAACACCCACTCTGACTTGAGAGGATTCAGTGAGAAATGTGGCTGCCCAGGGCCTGGTGGGGGGCCTCTCTTCCTTCTTCCACCCCCACCCAGGGGCACCTTTGATGAGGGTGTTGTACGCCTTGGCCCAGGAGTTGCGGTGGTTGGAGGTGAGGATGCCCACGGGCTCTTTGTTGGTTTGCAGCGACGAGTTCCAGATCTTCTCCAGTTGCACGAAGATCTGATCTGATGTCAGGGGTGTCCCATCGCTGTGGTACACATCCAGCTCAAAAAACTATCCGGGCACAGGCAAGTGGAGAGAAGGGAGGCACGGGAGGGGTGTGTGTGTGTCTCAGACTGGCGGCAGTTACCTCCCACCCCTGCCTCCTCCTGGCCTTGGCAACCCAGAAGTTGCAGCCAGGGCCAGCTGGCCCAGGTCCTGCCGAGGGGACGATGTCAGGCCACGGGTGTGAGCGGGGGGGGGGGAGGGCCTTGCACTGCTCTCCCCCAGGCTGCGCAGGCCCGCGGCCCCTCCTGGCTACCCTCAGGCTGGGGCCTAGCGGGGCACCCGGTGGAGACGCCCAGGGCGTGCCTGTTCCTGGGCACGCGGGGGCCTGTGCGGTGGGGCGGCTGACTTTTGGCCCTGCCCCCCTCCTCCCCTGCAGCAGGCTGGGAGCCCACCCACTTGGTAGTTGTGCACCACAGTGATGTGCATGGGCGGCTTCTTGGTCTTGCTGAAGCTGACGACCGTGTCCTGCTTGGGGCCTGGCACGCGGCAGGAGGACAGGATCTGATAGTACTGGTTCATGCACAGCGGCTTCCCCCCCAGGTACTCCACGGGCAGGGTCTCGCTGCGGGGGGGGGGGGGGGCAGAGGGCCAGTGAGGGGGCCACCAGGCAAGTAAGCGGGAAAGAGGACAAGACCGGCAGGAAGCTGCTGCTGGGCACAGCTGAGAAGGGGGCTCACACAAGTGGTGTCCCGACCCCCACTCAGCAGGAGCCAGGGCTGGGTCAGGGCCTGGCCTGCGGTCAGGAGGCCTGTCTTCCACCCTGGTGGGCCCTGCTGGGGTCACCCCAGAAACCCCCTTCCCCCTCTGTGCTTCAGTTTGCCACAGGAGACATGAAGCAGTGAGTCAACCTCTGGGGTCCTCTTTGTTTGCCTGGGACACCAATTCCAGGGGTCTGTCGGGACCATGTCACCAGGCGGCGGACTCAGCAGCGGGAGCAGAGGACCTAGGTGTTCCAGTCCCCACACTCTGTCTCCCCAACCCCAACAGAGGCTGGGCCAACAGGAAGTGAAAGCGAGGAGCTCTGGGCCAGCCCAGCATCGGTCTGCTGATTGGCCTTGCCCCGGCCCAGGCTGGAGTGGCTGTGGTAATTGGGAGGGGGAAGGGGAGTGGGGGCGGGCTGCTCACTTGTCAACCATGGCCTTGAAATCCAACACGCCCTCGATGAATTTGGCAGCGAACCTGGGGGGACCAATTAGAGATCAGAAGCTGTGTGGACTCCTCGAGGGAGGTCCCTGATCAGGGACACCCGCGGGCTGACGAGAGGGGCCTAGTCAAAGGAGACAGATTGCTTCACTTCTGATTCACCGCTTGCAGTAAGCATGAAGGAGTTCAAGGGCAGGACCTGTGTTTGAGTCCCAGCTTGCCTTTCTGAGCCAGCTTTCTCTTATCTCTAGAGGGAGAGCTCTTAGAGGGCCCAGGGAGATGCTTCAGCCAAGCCCTGGCAGGATGTAGGTGTAATGAATGGAGGTACGATTATAGCTGGTTTACTGGTCAGTGCTGGTGGATTCTACCCACACAGGGCCTGAAGCCCTGAACCACAGCCTGGAGCCTGGAAGGAGGTCACCCTTCTCTGAAACCTCAGTTATAGAGGGACCTGGGACCTTGGGGGACAGGGAGTATGAATGGGAGGGCAGTGGCTCAGGGTGTCCCCTCTGATAGGTACCTTCCTGTTTGGGGGCCTCTGTGTCTCCCAGGCCACCTCTCTCAACCTGACCTTCCTCCTTGGATGGTCTGGGCCACGCCAATCACGCCTGACACCTGGGCTGCCCCTGGACCATGTGGACCACGGGCTGGAGTCTGAGCCAGAATTCTTGGGGTACCCTGGTCCCTTTAAGAGAAACAGGTGGTAGCCCTGGGTGGCTGGTCCTTGGGCAGGAGGAGATCCCTGTCACTGGTATTTTTATCCCTGGTAGTCCCGGAACAGGGGCCAGGGCAAGTGACATGGCCGAATGTGGAAAAGGGGACTGTGTATAAAGGTCACCCTTGTGGCCACTTGGAGAGAGAGAGGAGGGTGGTGAAGTGTCAGAACTGATGTGAGGGATAGCCTCAGGTTTAGAGGGAGGGAGGAGACATGGTCCACAGTGTGGTGACCAGTTATGAAGCTGTAGAGCCGGGAAGACCCTGCTTTCTGGCCCGGATCAGCCAATCCTGAAAGGTACTCTTGGGCAAGCCCTTTCGTTGCTCTGAGCCTCAGTTTCCCCATCTGTAAACTAGGGATGATACTCCCGACTTCATAAGGCTGAATGTGGGGATGAAAGATAATGACCAGGACCGGGGCCCCTGCAGTCTCCTGAGGCATTGGACGTCAGGGCCCTGGACATGCCTGGAGCCCTGTCCCAGTCGCAGCCACTCACCGGAGCTGTCCCTGCAGGTCCACAAAGTCCTGTTTGGGCAGGGCCACGCCAGGGCTGGAGTAGATGACCAGGGGCTGGCGGTACTGGAGGTAGGCTGTTTTGAGCCACCATTCGGACAGCTGGGAAAAGGACCAGAGCCTGTGAGGCATGGGCGGGGAGCTGGCTGGGCCCCTTCTGCCCCCACTATAGAGCGCAGATCCTCAGCGTGAATGCTCAGATCCAGAGCCCCCCACACCCTTCAACCCACCAGCAGCACCCCATCATTTCCCCTTCGCCTGAGGCAATCCACCTTAGCAGGATAAATCAGACAATATTGCCAAGCCAAAGATTCCAGAGAGAAAGACCGGGCAGGAAACCTGAGGGTGGGGGTGGAGTGGGGTGAGGGGAGGAGGCAGAGGCAGAAATGGGAATCATTTTCCTTTCTTTTACAAACCTTTTTTTTTTTTTTTTTTAAGATTTTATTT